TTTGTGACTGAGATGAAGACAAGCAAACACTGTGCAGAACTGCTCAATGTAAAGCAACAGATTTCTTCATAAAGGTCAATATCACGAGGTGCATCTAGACCATCAGAAGATTTCACTCTGATTTTACTGTCTAAAGAGCAAAGTGAAGGCATGAGGCACTTTAAAGACCAACGATCAAAGAGAGGGCTATGCTGGAGCCCTCATGTGGGAATGGTGCATGGGCAACAGCACTCCGTCAGCTCTATGGCTAAAACCAGTTCCAGTCAACACCATGATCCAAAGGCACCTAAGAAGAGAAGAAAGCTGGGACTGAAACTTGCTAAGACAACTGGCTTAACCTTCAGTTTATATACCATTTTCAGTCCATGTCCCCCTACACACAGCTTGAGGACACTGAAGTTACAATAGGATAACATTTGTATAATATAAGGAACTGTCCAACACTTTGAAAGACAGTGGTGACACAGGTCATATTTATCGTATGTTTGTACCAAGAACTGAGCATGATCTTGCTTGGTGCCTCCATGAATGGTCAGACCTGCAGTATGACTACTAGGTAGACTAGTAGCAGCACTGAGAAATTAAAAATGTTTAAGTACTCAGAATTTGAAGGGAAGGTAGTGAAAACTGGTTATTGTTTCACTTCTGCCTCAGTGCCCTCTAAACGCATAAGGAGGGCAGACTGTGTTTGGTGTTTCTGCTAAGGGGAGAGAATGCTGCATGTGAAGCATGAAAGAAATGTAGTCTGATACTGCTTCACTGACTGTAAACACCTTTCCTCTTCATGGCTGCTCTGCACAGCCCAGCCCTTAGACTCAGTTTACCTCCTCCTCAACCCTCCTGTGGCCAAAGTGGCCACAGGATCTGCATAGGGTTGCATATGGGGCAGCCGAGGGAGATGGGAGCCAGCAGCCACAATGGCAACCTGTCCCAGCTGTCGGTGCAGCAGGCATCTTCCCGCATGGTTCCTGGGTACGGGTGCTGTGAGACTCAGTGCTTATCCTCTGTCATCCATCCTGTCACTGCTGAGGGACACCCTGGCTCCTCCTGCACGAGTGCCGCTTGCTATGAAGAGAGCCTGGCTCAGACAGGACTGTGCTTCTTCCATTGCAATGACAGCAAAGCATCACCCACCATATACAATTTCCCATGAGAAGGACCATCCCACGGGTGTCCCTCTAAAGCATTTATTTCCTGAACAGATGTGGATTCAGCTTGACCACAGGTCAAAGAAGAAATCAACTCCTCCTGTGCTTCTCCTTAGAAATGAAAGGCAGGTGATATCCATAGGTAAGAAAGAGAATATGTTTTTTTCTAACTACGCATTTTCACTAGAGGGATATGCTCAGCAAGGTGAGTGGTTCAGCATGGGGGTAAGGGTGGATAATTTCTTCATTTATTTCTGTGGGTTTACTGTGGGGTCTGCAGCTTGCCAAAGGACTATGCAGAAACATAGTGTTTCTATATGTCGTTTTCCCAGTAAAGGACAAAACCATTGAGTTCATGTGGGCTACATTGAGGTAGAAAGAATGTCACTTCAGTGCAGGATTATTAAACTTGTCCTAATTTACTCCTTTGAACAGCATTTTGACCTACATGTCCATAAAAGGTTTCCTGATGGTTTACGTGTGTACGCGTGCCTGACATAAATAAAAGACACACTAAAAAACTGAAGATACTGAAAAGCAATCCCATAAAATATTTTTACAGCAAACAGCTGCATGTCTGGTCTCTTTAGATTTATGTTAAATTCTGACAATTATCTTCAAATTTCTCAGTGCAAGAATCTTGTTCTTTCGAGATTCTATTCTGTAAAACTTCTAAGTTCAAGCATGAACATGTTGCTGTCTTTTCTCTTTCCCCCCCATATATCTGCATCAGGCAGATTACATTAATTCATCAAGACAGCTAAAGTCACTGCCTTTTAAACTTGTGCTATGTGTTACATTCTCTTCCTAGACTCTCGTTTTAAATAAAACTTTATCTACTTGGAGACCACAAAAGGAACAATTTGCTGCAAAAGGACATGCTCTGGGATCAAACAGGGCAGTCTGTGGAAGGGCTACAGCTCCACATCTGAGTTTCAATTCACCTTCATCCTCTATCATTTGTGGTTTTCTGGGTCTAGCAGTAATCTGAGCAACTTGTTCTGACAGATTTAGTGTGTTTCATACGGTAATTGGAATCTCACTACTTTAATGTCTTCATTCAAACAGTTTCCCTGATCATGGCGCTGAAAGGGATGTCTTAATGCTATACATAGCTTTATGTGAATAAAGGAGGTTTATGTGATTATGGTAATAGTTTGTAAAATCTAGGAGAAGGAGAAAAAGAGTAATTTGGAATTCATTTATTCATAACAGCAAAAGTTAATATTCTTCTTGCCTACAAAAGGGTTTTGTACATTAACCGTTTGTCCTGGATTTCTATTTCTTTGCAGAACTAGTTTGAATTGCTTCAGTATTACAGTTGCTCTAACTTCTTTTTTTGTCCTTTTTAGTCTCTTCAAAATACTATTTTTCCTTAAATAAATAGTCCTGATTCCATAAAGATGGTATTAAACCTGTCTTCCACCTTTTCTGAAGTATTTGAACAGAATGTTTAATTCTGGTCTCTGTTTTGTAGCTAAGCATTTTACTCATACAGAATAAATTGCCTTCCTACAACTGAAGATTAAAGATTTAAGCAATTTAGCTTATTCTTTCATAATTTTAAAATTTCTTGTTAATGGTGCATTTGTTTCTGGAACAGGGGCCTAGTGTGTGTGCACGTCTTTTTTATATATGTTATCTATATTGTTTTATTGTCTCACTGATTTTTACTTTTTTTTTCTGATGATTCTCCTCTTCACCTTCTGTCTTATCTAAGATTTTTCAGACTTCCCTAAATGTAATTTTAAACCGAGTTCATAAAAGCCTAGCTACAGTTTCAAATACTTAATTCGTTACCTGGGACCAAATTGTGTACTCCCTTGGCCTGACTTTGTCAAAAGCCTTGCAGTTGAAAGCAGAAAAAAGCCTGGCATGTGGTCATGAGAGGATTGAAGAGCAGAGACTATAGGCACAGTGATTCAGATTAATCTCTGTATTAACTTCAGTGAAGCAATACATCTGGAACATATTAGAACAGTTTTGCTGTGTGATCTGTCAGTTACGTGTTATCATTCTAGAGAGCAGATCTTTAAAGCCTTGTCCTCCAGGTTAAATGAATTCAGAGATAGCAAACTGACAAATAGCAGGAGATGCTTTTCCTTAGAGGTGTCTGTGGGGAGAATTTGCAGCAACATTAGGCCCAATGCCTGTCATTATTTTATGGGGGAGCTGAAAATACAGGGAAAAATACTGTTAATAAGATCTGTGGATGACAAGAGGAACAGAGATCTGCTAGAGAGATACAAGTACAGAGAAGGCAGGAAATTTCAGAAGAACAGCCATCTGGCCATCTGCCTTTTTCTTAAGTTGTGTTGGCTAATAGGAATCCCTGACCATACCTCTCTGTGTGTGCATGCACTTAGACAAGGATAGAAATGACATAGTTCTCTTTCTTGTTAAACTTTGGTGACCCCTGGTGAGCTTCTTGCATGCTCACTCTACCTGTGAGGAGCATAGCTAGAGAGAGGGCTTTGCCCTTTGGGTGAAATGGGGGCTGGATGAGACAATCCATTAGGGCCATACAGATCCACAAGTGAATGGCCCTTATTCCCTGGCAGTATCTGCAATTTTGGAATTAATGAAGAATTATGGTTAGTCCAACAGGGGTACCGAAGGCCACTCAGAAGTGTAGGAGCAGGGACCCTGCAGCAGTATCTACAACGTTCTACTTCTGGGGTGGGTAGAGGTTGGCCAAGCTTATTCCACTGCAGTGGGCTTGCTGCAACCAACAGCAAGACTAAAAGTACTGCCTGTATGTCTGAGATAAGGCATATTTATACACAGTTCCACATTCCTAAGCACAGCATAAGCAAAATAAATCAATCAATCAATGAACGTACATTAATTTAATCTTACACAGGGCACAAGGATGAAATGCCTTTTTTAATAGTGCGCTGTCACAGTGCCCCTAAAAACATGCTACAACTGCCTGGGTGCAAGCTGAGCTTTAGTGCTCATCCGAATGTCTCAGGGCAAATATCCAGCTACTTTAAGTTTGCTGGCTTATGAGTGGAAGACTGTGCTTCTCAAAGTTTTTTCACGGGTGATGCATACTGTGTCTCTCCTCCTTCCCAGCCCATCCTGCCTTTTGGAGTTACGGATTTCCTGGTGACCCCCAAAGGCATGCAGACACATCCTCTAGCAAGGGCACGAGCATGCTGGCAGCAGATCAGCTCCTTGAGTGAGGAGCAAGGACTGGCTGCATTTAGTGGTTATAGAAATAAACACATGGAGTGCATGTACCAGTATGGATAACATTACAGTGCTTGTGTTAGCTGAAGAGGATGCAGTATTTGTTTTTTGTCCCATAGTGGGCTGGAGGTCCAGTGACAGCCCTGAGGGGTTTAGACCACCATGTGTATGGTTTACAGAGGGTGCTGAGATCGCAACTGGCCAGCAAACCACAGAATGGTGGGTTGAGTGCCCACTGACCTCTGTAACAGCGGGGAAGATGCCAGGCACCATCACCACCACTGCAGTCTCTCAGGTGAACTGGATTCACACCTCCCAGGGAGGAAGGGAAGGGTCCTGGAGGCTCCCAGCAATGCCACCTGGAAGTGCTCCGCTAGCCCCTTTATGCTCACAGCACATGGACTCCCTGATACAAGCCTGCCTGATTTTTTACTCTAGAGAGGTGCGAACCCTCAGAAGATTTATATCAAATGGCAGCTTGCAAATAACAGTGAGACCCAGAGCCCCTGTGTGAAGCACAGAGCTATAGCAGAGGCTAAGGGGTTTGAGGGTGTCTCACAAGCAGCAGGAATCAGCTTGATAGCTCATGTTCTCAGAGATCCCTGATACCTGATTGCAGTGGTCTAAATTGATCAATAGTGCAAAATTTACTAGTGTCAGGGGGACAACCTAATTCAGGGAGCAATTCACCGGATGAAGTCTGATGGGGAAGTATGGGGACAACTCCTTGGTCACTACTTGCATGAAGGTCTGTGAGATTTAGGTGCTTAACTGGGGTCTGGAAGAAAAATCTGTTCTCTTCATTATCAAATAGCAGACAAAATATAAATCAGCTACTGCAACTTGTATTTCAGAAAGGTTCAGAAGATTTGGATGCCTTGTTCTTTTACATTCAGCAGTCATTAATTCACCTTTACCCCTCCTTTTCTTTACCTTGGGACCCACCTGTCCCTGTTCAGACCTGCAACACCTTTCAGGCATTCCATGTCAACACTTGTGAGGTCATCAAGGTTAACACCTGCGGGTTATGCCCCTTGTTCTCCTGGAGACAAGGTGTGTGAGACACCAGTCAGTGTCCAGCAGCTGCAGCCGGTTCTCTGCTCCCTCCCTTCTAACTTCTTTTCTCCACAGCAGCAAGATGTCAGAGGTAGAAAACACTTTCCGCAAGTTTGCGACATACGGTGACGCAGCTGCCAGTGGCAATAGCATGACAGGGAAGAACTTCTCCAAGATGTGCAGAGTGTGGGGTGATGGATGGGAAAGCCGTGACCAGCACTGACATTGACATCGTATTCAACAAAGTCAAGTGAGTGTTGCAGGGAGGCACGGTGGGCAGCGCAGCCAGCTGGGAGGAGGGAACCGCAGGAGGCAGGCAGGCTCTTGTGTGAGGAGCAGCCTCTGGGCAGCCTCATCCCACTGCCACCCAGTGGCAAGGTAACTTTCTTCTTTTTCTCTCTTTGCCATAGGGCCAAGGGTGCTCGCACCATCACCTTTGCTGAGTTCCAGCAGGCCATGAAGGAGCTCTGTGTGAAGCACTTCAAGAACAAATCACCAGAGCAAGCGCTGCAGGCTGTGTATGGCCTCACTGAGGGGAAGGAGCCCAGCCACATGGTCACCACGGTGAGTACGAGTTTCATCACTCACTACGCACCTTTAGCTGTCACGGGGTGTTTGTTCCTGCTGCTGGCACATGCGTTGTCCTCACAAGTAGGGAAGAGCTTGTTTGTGACTTGTTTCTTAACACTGGCTGCATCTTGCTGGCCTCCTTTCTTGCAGAAAGCCACTGAGGCTGGCGGCATAGAGAGGCTGACAGACACGAGCAAATACACTGGGACCCACAAAGAGCGTTTTGATGAGAGTGGCAAAGGAAAGGGTCTTGCTGGCCAAGAGGATCTGACAGACAACAGCAGCTGTGTTGGAGCCTACAAGGGGGCTGGAACCTATGACAAGACACACTAGGACTGGAATTACTTAAGGAAATAAGGACTTTCCCTCTATAACATGGGAGAAGAAGCAAATAAATATCTCATACAAGCAGTCTTCTGTGCCTGTGCACCCCAAATCTGGCAGGGTGGGAATGCATGGGGTGAGCACTGGATGAGTGCTGGATAGTGTAGGCTCCCTGTCTGACCATGCTTTGATTGCTATGTGGTGGGCTTAAATCCAAGCACAAGCTAGCCTATGGACAAGCTAGTCTACTGCCATTGCATTGCTTTGCATTTCCAATCAAGTGAACATTAGGTTAGTCTCTGAGTAGTCATTATTTAACCCTCCCAACATGTGATACTTTCTGCTGTGTTTTTTGGTTTGGGGAGCAGTGTGTGCATGCTGTTGTAGAGCTACACTGGGTCACTTTTGAGTTGACTGCTTCTTGTGGCAGACAGCCCATCAGTGGTACCTGACCACACGCTGAAGAGCGCTCTTTCAGGGCATAGAATTCAACATGTACCTCACTGTGGAGAGGGAAGGGGGACCACTGACATCAGTTTCTGCTTTCCCTTTTGCCTAGTTTAAATCCTCTCACCTGTTTCTAGCATTTGGCATGCTCACTCATTACTGTTCACCCCACTTTAGAATGCATGCAGCTGGGGAAGAGTTTGTGAGCCCGAAGAAAGCAACTGAAAAGCTGTGGTGCTGGGGATCAGAAAGGAGAGAAGGACTTTGTGGAGCATAGCAGGCCTCTGTACTTAAGAGAATGGTTTGCAAGCTCTGCCTGCACTCTCATCCTTTCCTCAAATCCTCTTTCTTTTTCTGGTAGCTGCCTTTGCCACCCAGCCCCATCACTGTGATTGGTTACGAGATCTCTTGTGCTATAGAACTAGAATCATAGTTCTTTCCCCGTGGCCTTTCAGCAGGCTGGTAGGACTAGCATGTCCCCTGTCTCTGCGGCTAGATCTCTGTGTGTGTGGCCAGTTTTGAGGTGTTCAGTGTGGGCACACATCTAGGACCCACTGCTGAGCAGTGAGGGGCTCCTTGGGTGTGTGACTGGCTTTCAGTCCACTGCAGCTATCTTCCCTGCTGAGCAACTTCAGACTCCTGGATTAGCATAATGGAGCTTTTAGGAATAACTGAAACAGCACCTTTGGGACAGTTTTGCCTGACATTATGGAGAATTATCTAGCTGTACTATTCCAGTCCTACAAGCCCTCATCATGGGCCATGATGTTTGTTAAGGCACAACACTTGCTCAGAGCGCATTGCTCTTTGCCCCATAGCACTAATGAATGTCGTCCTTCCTCACCTAACAAACCAGTTAGGTGGATCTAGGAATTAACAAACCTCACTCACTCATGCACTTTCTCTTACATTGTCCTTATGCACCAATGACCTTTTAGGCTACTTTATGATCCATTGTGTTCCTAGGTAACTTGTGTGCAAAGTGGTTTGGTGACTCTGGGCTATATGGCAAAAAGTTCTGTAGAAAAGGGTGCAGGTGCATTGGGCATAATTGGCAGGGTCTTGGTAGCTGGGCGCTGCAGGGGTGACCTGAGAGGAGATCACAGACCACCCTATACTGGCCCACAGCCTGAGGAGGGCTGGAACAAAGAGATGCCACCAGTGAGTGCTAGAGCAAAGAAACCCCCTAGCACAGGCAGGCAGACGGGAGACCCTGAAGGAGGTATGACTCTAAAGAGACTGTGGCTGGTGGAGAAGGGCAGACCAGTGCAGTGAGAAACAATAACCGGAAACAGAAGAGGAACCACAGTGGCTGACCTCAGTCTCCTGTGCTGTCCATGGCCCTGAGGCACTGAGAGGATGGAAGGCCGGGAAGGGGCAGCAGAGGTGTCTGGGAGGAAACTGATGTACTCCCCCTCAGTGCTTGTTTAATTGCTTGTCTATATTTGTTAATATCAGAATGGATGATTTAAAGTTTCTACTAGTAGGCAATAAACTATGAAATTCAAACTCAAGACTGCTCTTTTGCTCAATACAGTAGGAATTGGATATGGTAAAATAGAAATAAAAGCATTGGAACATATGTAAAATAAAAAAAATAGGCCTTATACTTGCTTTTTGAGTTTTGGTACAACTAAGATCTTTAAAACATACTCTAAAGACTGCTGTTCTCAGCAATGCTGTATTGGTCCATCATGTTCTGTGCAATAATTTAAGGAAAGTACCGGTAAATGGAGAGTAACAGAATGGTGCACAAAAAGCTAATGCACTCAATAAAATAATGACAGAACATTCTCAGATAGCTCTTCTTCTTGTAACATAGCATTCCTTATTTCAATACAGTCTGTAGGTAATTGCAACAAACATTAATACTTTAGAGCTATGACTGCTGTTCCCGAAGCTTTCTCTCATTAGCTCTGAAGTGGATCTACTCATCCTGTTGCTCTCAAGATGTGCCTGCAAAAACACTGCTGAGAGGTTGCAGGACTCGATAATGTTGTCCTGGGCTCGAATAAAGTTTTTCAACTCTTTCCTATGCTTTGAGGTGTAAGTCATAGGTCACAGTCCCCCTGGTCCTCCAAGATGAAGGGCCGACTGATTGCTTCCCCACAATATAATACTATGTGAGGAACAATGCTAGTGCATGTTACAGTGTAACCAAAAACATGGGTTTGAGGGTCTCCCAGTATTTTTGATCCACCCCTAAATGCTTATCAATACTTGATGTGTAGTTATCAGCAAGGTCCTGCTGACTCTTGGTGGCCAAGCAGAAAGATGTACCAGATTGATGGGCCCAGCAGTGTACTAGCACCAAATAATGCAGTTTTCAAGCAAAAGATGTAGGCACCAGCAGTCTCACAGTTGTATCAGTGTTTGGGTTTGGTGTGGCATCCGATGTCTGACTCCTTCTAGCTGCACTTCAAACACCTTGAGACCTTTTCATATGGGGAAAAGGCAAACAATGATTGCCTTCAATAACCAAGCAAACCTTGAGTATTTATTTGCTCAGGCTCCAACTTCCTTGCAATTAAATGGCCCAAGCAATAGTCCGCATGCAGTTCTGCAGACACACACAGGGATGCGCTGTTGGGCTTTTTTTTTTTTTTTTTTTTTTTTTATTTTTTTAATGTAATTTTAAAAGAGCATATATGGCTGGCACGGAAAACACTGTAACACTATGGGAGCTTTAGTAACAAACTGAGAGCTTCGTACTTGTGCTTGTGTAGTTTGAGTTCTGGTTTGCATTAACTCGGGTACAATGTGACACTGGAGGGTGTATATCTGAGACATGATTCAATCTGTACTTCATCCTGCGATCTAACTTGTGCAGTACTCCAGCACCAGCAAGAATCACTACTTGTCCTTTCTATTCCTTATAAGTAGAAATCACAAAAGATGAGGAATGCCATGTTCACTCCCTACAGCAGCAACAGAGTGAACGGGTCAAAAGGAAGTCATGGTTGACTGAGGAGTTTAAAAATAGTACCTGACTACTCTATGCCCCTGGGGAAGCAGTAACACCACTGAGCAGAGGATTTTAAAATGGCCAGAGACATGATGTATCAATTAGAGTCAACAGCACATTTACAAACAAAAAAGAATAAAAAATGCAGTTAATGTTCTAGTGCACTGGGAACATTCAAAAATAAATGTCTGTGTCATTTTATATTTGCTCTATTTAAGAGGCCACATTACCTAGAAACCCAGCCATGCTGGGAGAAAGAGGTTAGAAGCCTTCCTTTTGGAGGTGGCTGAACTTTATTGGGCATTGCTTCTCTGCACTGTCCCACGAGCATCAGAGACAGTGTGAGGGCTCTGGGAGAGGGCTGGCTGCTGGTGCTCCTCCACGTATCTGCATAGCAGTCAGGAGGACGAGGCCCTTGGAAGCTGCAAGGAGATAAATGTAGCTGCACACATGTAAGTGGCCCAGTTTGGGGGGTTTACTGGCAACAGTGGGAATCTTGCTGAAGTAAAACTACATTCATTATCTAGGTGCTTATACCCAGCTACTGCTAAATTGTCAGTACTGCGGATGAATAGGGAAGCATTGGCATTTACAACGTTCTGAAGTACAGGGGAAAAAATACCACAAGTCCAGTTCACTTTGGCAAACTCAGTGAACTTGTTTTCTTGTTTCTCTGGGGTGTTTCCTAATACATTCCTACACTCCACTTTCCCTCCACCCAACAGCTACATCCTTCAAAGCAGTTTCCTTGCTATCTTCTAGAAACACATCTCAAGACCAATTAGCAATTCTTTGCCAGCTCATCATTGCTCCACTGTACTGGAGGCACAACATCACACACCAGTCAAATAAAAATCATTTGGTAACAGTGGTGAAATCTGCACACAAATTAGAAGAAGATCTGAAGATACAACTGCTGTAGCTGTGCAGTAGGAGCTGCAGCAGTAGGGCAGGGTGTTATTGAACACAGGTAGGAAAGAATATGACAAGAAACTACACACACATGTATGCATGTATGGGTGCATAATGCTTTTAAAGCACTCTTCAGACTGCACAAGAGAGATACAGAAGTCCTCTGCTACCTCCTCTGCTGCTCAAGCGTGCAGTTGGTCTTGCATGTCAGTCAACTCTTGCTGTTGCTGAAACCAGCGTAATTTCACTTTAACAAAGCAGGAAGAAAAAAGAACAGATTGTATCAGTGGACCCACTGGCTAGTAGAAATGCAGCAGGACAGACAAGTGAGCATCCTTGTGCTGCAGTGTGGTGTGATGATGGCTCATGGCATTTTCCATGGTATTGAACCTTTTTTTTTGCAAAGTTGCTTCTTTTTGCTGTTGCTGTTGCAGGTTGTATCCCTAACATGATGGCACAGGGAGCTTACTGACCTGCTGCCACATGAGGTGTTTCAAGGTGGCATTGGGCATCCTCCGTAAGCACTTTGCTACAGTTAAGCAAGGTCTGGACCTAACAGGCTCTCACCCTGACAGTTTAAAGCATTTGCAATGGTACACAGATGTGGAGAACTAATGATCTGTCCACATTTATACTGGACTGGTCAGTCAAGTGCTATTTACATTTGAAGTTACGAATTGCAATGGACGGCAGTGCAAGGCTTTCCCCAGCTGGTTCTTGTTTCCCCTGCTGCTCTGGCTATTGAGAAATGTGCACATCTCCAC